AATTCGGTGTTATCGGAATTGGATTTTCGGCATTACAGTAATTCGATAACACCGAATTCAAAAACTTATCGAATTCGACAGACCAAATTTTTATTAGTTGTCCCAGAATTTATGAGAACAGCTATAATAAATGGTGATTTATCTTCAATACCCATGCATTTGATGAAACAATATCATTGTATGAAATTTCCATCGGGTTAAGTTTCTTTTGTTTAGACGATTAGTGAACCGAATGAACAGAATAATTTATACAAAAGCAAACTTGTATAATTATCGATTTTATGTGTGTGAACAAGATATGCACATACGTATGTACGTACTCTATTTATAAATTCTGAAATTAGCACACCTACAAATTGAACAGGGTTCCGGTTCATTTCACCGAAAATCAGTTCACCGACAGTACGATTCATCGACAATAAATTCATCATTTCACCGACAAGTTTTTTTTATAAATTACACTAACCTTAATTCTAATTCTAACCTGACCCTAATGACAATGACCAAAATTATTTTGTCGGTCAAATTCGGTCAAATTCGGTCAAATGACTAATGAACTTGTCGGTGAATCGTACTGTCGGTGAACTGATTGTCGATTAGTAATATTAATGAATACTATTTAAATTTTGATAAATAAGTAATAATAACTTAGAATTTAAAGCTGTATACAATAACTATAATTCTTAGTTACGTAATTATTATATCACGATTAGAAATAGATATCTTAAATCAATTCCTTATCTCTGATGCAAATGTGAGATTAGTTAACATTTGCTATTAATACTAATCTAATCGCGATGAAATGAACGGAACCCAAAATTTTTGCCCATATGCTTTTACCAAATTTCTTAATAATACGAATCTAGAATTATAATAATTAAATTTTTTTTTACCAAAACTTTGTCCTTAAAAAAAAGCCATGAATTTATGTTAAACAAAGGTTCTTAATAAATATTTAAATTTTTGAAAAATACAATTTTGTAGTTGATTTTGTTTAAAAATTTAAGTGAATATTTCTTAGCCAAACTCGATAAAGATTATCGTTATATATCATTTATTCTATATACAATTTTGTAGAATTAAAATTATCAGGTAGTTATTTAGATACTTTTGACCAAGGTTTCTTTAAAAAAGGATAGTTATAGCCAATCCAAATCAAGGATCTGCCGCGCATTTTTCAATTCTGTGAGCCACGGCGGTCTGATTAAACACCATAAATATCTCATTCGTGGAACCATAAAATCAATAAACAAATTTAATTTTCTGATGCGAGGAATTGTAAATGTTAATTTTATAATTTCAGGATTAGGTGTTTTAAAATCAAATATAACACATTCCTATTATTCTAATTTTACCAACTTAAAATTTTTTCATAACTTTCAAAAAAATTCTGGTATAATGAAAACGAATATATTAGTTTATACTCCTCAAAAATATATTCAATCACAACCTAATGTCATCAACCGTTTAAAATCTATTATAGGAAACAATTACGATATTATTCATGTTGATTCTAAAGCGTTAAACGATGAGCCATGGCAAGATACAATTTGTTGTTTAATCGTACCTAATATAGACATTGATATTTATTATGATGAATTAAAGAATAAAGCGAATAAGAAAATTAAGGATTATGTTTTGGGAGGGGGGAACTATTTGGGATTTGGTTCTGGTGTTGCATATGTTACAAAAGATTTGGGAGATCAAAGGGGTCAGAATAGTCTTGATTTCTTTTTAGGTGATTATAAGAAAATAGATCTTTCAACTAGTTCAAGTACGGTCGTGGAATTGATGCCACTATTGATAAATCAAAATAATGAACCTTCAACACTTTCACAGCAAATTCAATTATCTACTGACGAAACTTTAGGGTATTTTGAAGATGTTGAAAAATTTTTAAATATTAAAACTTTGGCACATTATAAAGATCCATCACAAGCAGCGATTATTCAATGTGAAATTGGCAGTGGTAAAGCTATACTTTGTGGTATTGATCTTTATTCAAGTTTGATTTCTGAGCAAAGGAACCAATTGATACGATTGATAATATCAATGTTTGGAATAAAACTGTCACAATCAGATGTTATTATTCCTAAATTAAGTTCAACTTTTTATTTATCTTCTTTGAGACCTGCATTAACTGATCTTTGGGTTCGTGGAGTAAGCTCTTTGATAGATCCTGATGGAATTATTAAAATTGGGAACATTTCTTTTCGTCTAATAACTAGTTCGCAGAAACCTTCCTCGAATCAGCTAGAAGAGACAAGCGCTGTTAATGATAGTGTGATAAAAATAGAAGTATATAATGAACCACCATCCGCGTTAGTTACTCCTTTGTTCAACCTTAAAAAGTTCTTTGAACATCTTAGTAACGATAGGAATGTGTTATTCGGTTGGGATCATAATTTTGATTTTGGGTCAACTCTGCTGTATGGTGAAGTGTTAACAAGCACTCAAACAATATTGGCTAAGTAAGCAGTTTAATTTGATTTTCTTATTTTGAATATATTATGTTTAGGCTAATTTTTTTTTTCCTTTATCATTGATAAAAAGTGATTTTAAGTTCACACAACAACTACCAACCGGATTTGTTTGTGTAGCAACGCAGCAAATTCAAGGACGTGGCCGTGGAAGGAATTCGTGGATTTCACCACCTGGATGTTTGCAATTTTCTATTATGTTGAGACATTCGCTAAAACTTAATCCAGGATCCATGGTTTTTATACAATACTTATTATCGTTGGCTGTCGTCGAAGCAGTTAGAACAAAACAAGGTTACGAGGTATTTATTTATTTATTTAATAGTTTATATCATATAATTATTACAATATTTTTTAATTAATACTTAGAATATACCATTGAGACTTAAATGGCCAAATGACATTTATGCGGAAATTTCTTTAGATGGATCTTCCAAACCTGAACTTGTTAAGATCGGTGGTGTTATTGTTAATTCAAATTTTATTAAGGATGAATTTCTCATAATTGCAGGTATTTAATTTATAATTTGTGATGAATGAATTTATATAATTTAAACTCATTCAAAATATTTAACAGGTTGCGGTGTAAATCTAACAAATTCCGAACCTACAATTTCAATTAATCAACTAATAACAACTTATAATAAATCAGTGCATAGTTCAAAAAAATTACCATTATTTTCACAAGAACAATTTTTATCTTTGATTCTAGTAAATTTTGAAAACCTTTATAAAGAATTTTATCAAAATGTTCATGGACCTAAATCATTTTTGGATATTTATTATAAAAGATGGTTACATAGGTATTTGTTTATTTGTTAATTAAATTTTATATTATTAACCAAAGTTGACTATTACTCTATTTAATATTTAGTGATCAAGTAGTCGTATTAGAAACACATGATAACCAAAAGGCAACAATATTAGGAATAACGACAGACTTTGGATTCTTGAAAGCTATGATCATTGATACAAATGAGATTGTAATGTTACAACCTGATGGAAATAGTTTTGATATGATGAAAGGTTTGATTAGTCGTAAGGCATAACTCTAATTCAAAACAAAAAAAAAAAAAAACGGATGATACTTTAATAGCTAAAGATATTGTATATATTATTATCAATAAATTTAATAATATAAATTTTTTATAAAAGTAACTGCGTACCTACCATTTCATTGTTTTAAATCCTTGAATAATTCTGCTATATTTATTATTTTCTGGACGGTGTCATAATTGAATTTGAGATATTATCAAACAACTCTATTTACCTGTAATTTGGATGTTACTCGAACATTGCGATTGCAGAAAATTTATTGAGGATTTTAAATTTTAACTAGTGACTCTATGAAGAAAGGTATGCGCTTCCATATTTTACTCATCGAAATATGATTAGTATGATAAATGAAAATTTTGCATCGATCCATAGAGTGATGTAGTGAGAACATTCTTAGCACAGACGAACCAGGTATAACCACCAAGTATAGATGCGAGTCGGTCGTTGGCTCTGCTGTCTTCATAAATCTTGGGACGAATGAAAAATTACCCACGGCCGAATCGATAAGTTTCTGATTTCGATTCAGTCATTGAAGAACTTTTCAGTTGTCCTAGAATTTATGAAAATATCTGTAATCAATTTTCGTTATAATTAATATACGAGCCGATTGACCGTTTTGCGACAAAGAGAGTTTAGGCTACTTAACTTGAGTCATTTACAACTGTTCTCATAAATTATGGGACAAATTAAAATTTCGCTCGTTTCATTTTGTAAATAACCTAACTCTCTAGAATCCGAAGGCAGTGATTAATTTTCGGGATTTAGGTGATTTACAAAATGAACCCGAAAAGATTTCGGGTAACAATCAAATTTTTAATTTTTTTCCAGAATTTATAACTAGGAATGAAGAATCGCTATAAAATAATTGAAAATAACAACGGCAAATGAACTTGGAAAATGTGATTATAGTTGATTAATTAAAAAAATACCAAACCCGCGAAATTGATGGATCCATCACATGAAAAGAAACCATCATAATGGGATAGAAGAATAAATCTAAGAATTAGGTCGTTATAAATAACACAGAAACCTTTTGGCAGTAAATCTACAACTTATTAAATATCTTCACATTATTAATTGTTCTTCTATTTTATGTGTAGGTATTGTATGTTCTCAATAATTCAAATCCACTTAATTAAATACATATCGGAAGGTTAGGGAATTCTGAATCAACCTAAGTTAGTTCTAAACATGTTTAAATAAATTATAAAATTGTAAGTCTAATTTGGAAAATTTGCTCGGAGTCTTATAGGAAGAACTTCAATTGCATTGCATGTAATTTCAAGAACACCTAACTTATACCAATTATTTTTTAAAATTGGACCTAATTGATTCATAGTTATATAATCGAAATTTGTATTTTAAAACCCAAATTTATTAAGAGAGTAGATAAGGGATTTAAATTTCTCAAATCAGCCGAATTTTGTATTTTTCGTGCCTGAAGTTGCTGAAATTGTGACTTCAGTAAATTTCACCTTTAGATCTTTTTTGCCACAATACTTAGTAAATTATAAGGAGTCGTATATCTTGTCAGCGATAAACTCTGTTCGACGCAAAGTGCAAATTGGATCTTTGATTAATAAGGACATACTCTCTAAACAGAAGAGTGAAGAACTCTTAGCTTGACGCACAAGTTGTCCATCTTTTTTTGGGTTTTATTTTTTTGATTATATCATTATCGTGAAATGCTTCTTGTTAGTACTAATAATTCAATATTTGTTTACTAACTCTAAGGATTGGATAGTACGATTTAGAAATTTAAAAGTTTCAATTCAAAAATCGATATATACTGAAATGTATTTTGTTAATTAGGTATCTTTAATGTGATGAACAAAAATTATAAAATTGAAATAAAATTATCACATTTTGTTTCTTGAGTTTGAATAAATCAATGTACAGTACTCTTAAAATGCGGTATATTATATCTGCAAATAAAGGTATACTGAAAATTGTTAAATAAGAAACAGAGAGCGATGTTAACGTTAAATAACTGGCGGTTTCGATTTGTATATCATTTGCTTAGTTTTAATTTAGAATAAATTCGGTTTTTAATTTTTAATTTTTGTTATAGAACAATAGCATTTTTGCTACTATGAGTTAATCTTTGTGAAATATTTTATTTCGAAATTTTGACATTTATCAGTAAAACATTTTAATCAAAATATTTCTACCGTATTCAATAATTGTATACCTGTAGTTATCTTTATAAGATTATTCCACATGTTACTACATATTACTGGATTGTGAAAACAACTTTCTCCTTGGGTCTACCTTGCACGTATTCATATGCTTCTACACATTGGTCTAATTGAAATACTCTAATATTTTGTGGAGCTCGGAGAGCACAACTATTATTGCATGAAAGTTATTGGAATATAGATTAATAAAGTTGTTTCACGAAAATTGAATGCTTGAATCACAACAGCTCTGAACATATTTGATAAACATAGCGGGACACTAAAATTTAGAAAAATACATATACCTTTCAAATTCTGGTTTCAATGTATTAAACATTTTAGCAGCATCTTCTCGAGTATAGTTTAATGTGTTAAGTCCAAAAAGACGAAGTTCTCGGCTTTTTTATTTATTTGTTTTTTTTTGTTTTAATTTTTTTTAAAAAATATATATATAGATTAAGAAAAAAATTTGATACGCAAAAAAAATATCAAGATTTAATGATAAATAATTACCGATAAAAATCGAGCCCATCAAAGAAGATGTGTTTGTCATTTGAACCTCCAACAGTCATCATAACATATCTTCCGCGGTCTTTCAATGATGAAAGAGCCTTTTAAAATAAAAGAGACGTTAAAAAAAACTTTAAAATACACAAATACATGCAATATCATTTCGTTAATTTATTTCATAAACCTTATCAAATAGTGCAGAGTTTCCAACACAGTCAATCACGACATCAACACCTTTTTGACCCGTTAAATAAAGAGCTTTCTTTTTTAAATCCTCATTTGAGGTGTCAATAAAATCGGGTCCAAACTCCAGAGGTGGTTTATTAGAAAATGCACCAATTGGTCTAGCTTTAAGAAATCTTGCTATTTGAACCGTGGAAGAACCGACCGCTCCACGTGCACCTTTATATATTTTATAAAAAATTTTTTTAATTAAATAAAAGGTTGTGTGAAACAAATGAAAATAGAATGAAAAGTACCTATAACAAGAACGTTTTCATCTTTTTGGATATTTGCAGTAACCAAGGCGAAGTAAGCAGCTAAAAATCCAACACCAACTGAAGCAGCTTCAGTGAGAGTTAAATTTTCAGGCTTGATAGCTACAGTTTCAGGAGTTGCTATAATATATCTGCACGAAAACAATAATAAATAAAGAATAATTATTTGAATTGTATGTATCTGATATTGAATCCTTACTCAGCATGAGTTCCATCAAACGTGAATCCACTGTGTCCACCAGTTCCGAATACTTCCTTATTCAGCCATTCAGGTGGGCCATCGACGACTATGCCTGCAAAATCCCTTCCGGGAATGCGCGGTAAAGTTGTAAGCTGAAATCTGCCTAGAACGTTATAAACATCGCTCTATTTTTATAATGAAATAGTTTTAAGAATCTCTATACAGCTTAATGAACTTAATGAATAGAAAATGATCTTTGAATAAAATTTACAGGATTAATGGCAGAAGCATAAACTTTAATTAATAATTCTCCTTGCTTTGGAATGGGTTTTGCGACATCTTCTACTACCAATTTTTTAATATCACCTTTTTGATTAATTCGCACAGCTTTCATTTTTTCCATTTTATAAAAGAAACAAAAAATTAAATTCGTACTAACCAATTTTTAAACGGGCTTTCGCTGTGATTGGCTGATTTTTTGTAAATCATTTTACAACTTTAGTTAAATTTTATTGGCTAAAAATAAGGTTTTGTGTCACGTTGCACAGTTACCTATTATCTAAAGCGAGCTACCCCAAAAATTCTACTGTCACATGATGATCAGCGGTAAATTAGCAAATAACGAAACATGATTTGATGTAACGTTACACAATTAGGAAGATCAAAACAAACGTAAAATAACATGAGAGCAAGTTTACTAGCAGGGTGACAATCTTCATTACACAAGCCTTCTAAATTGGAAATTGTGACTCAGAGCTGACTCAGAGCCAATTTCGTTCAATAAAAATGCGAGGTTTTTATAAATCATACATATTTTTTCGCTTATACATAGTTTTTTCGCTTTTAGACTTACTTCTTTATACAATAAATCGCAACAATGTTCTTACATTACCGCTGTCATCTATATTCATAAGCGCGGTTGCATTAGCAAGTTACCAATATTTAAAACAAGGCTAATTTTTGGTTTGTTTAATAAGTTTACAAATTATGTACAATTAAAGAATAGTAATCTTAAGGTATATAATTAATTTAAAACATTGCAACAAATGTGAATATAAGGAACTGAGTTCTAAAAGAAATTATGGTTGGAAAATACCACATTCTAACTGATATAACACTTCTGAAACATGGTATCAAATGTGTGCCTTTTAAAAAATAATTCAAGAATAGACAAACAGAAACAAAAAGGTTGATGATTGTATTAAAGAACTTTAGTTTAAAACTATAGAACATGAAAATATAATCGAATGGGTTTCTTATAATATTCGAATGAATGGTGTCAAATTTTCGGCAAAATAGTTATATGGAATGTGATAATTACAAAAAAAATAATAATAATAATTAATTTATTTTTGTAACAATAATGAACAATTGATTAATCAATAGCAAAAAATAATCTAATAATTATGTAATTTTATATTTTGTATTGATTTATTTTTTTTTAAAAAAAATATATAATTTATTTTAATTATTGACTAGTATTATATAAAAATAATTTTTTTTATTAATAATAAATTATTTTTAATTAATAAAATTAGAGATTTGTTAATGTCATTCTTTAATTTTGCTAATGCTATTTCTTTTATATAAAATATTTAATCTCCAACCTTTCAGACCCTAATTACTAATTAAAGTTAGATTATGTAAAAGGTGGCATTAATAAGTCTCTAAAATTAATTAAAAAAATATTAATGCAAATATTTGCAATATTAATATTCAAAAATTTTTCAAAAATTGCAAAATAAGCTTGCTTCACCCTTGACAATGCTTGCTTATCTTTCTAAAGTACTTCTAATGTATTATTTTTATTTTCTATTATTTGATCTTGTGGACTATCTTTATTAGTTTTAACAATTTTTTCAAAATTTAATTTTAATTTATCTAATTTATTTAATCATAAAAATAAAGAAGTAATATTATTTTTTATACCTAATTTAAAAATATTTTCATAATAATAACATTTTCTATTTAATATAGTAAAATAGTTCTTATAATATTCATAATTACATGCAATAATCATGAAACTTTTATCTGTTCTGTCATATAGTAATCTATAATAATAGTCATATTTGTTATATGATGGCAAATGCTTATTGCTAAATTCTAATGTCATTTGCTTATTGTCTATAACAAAATCCAATAATATTAGTTTGTAAGTAATTTTTTTTCTTTGACCTTTAACAATAAAACTTTGATCTAATCTTTAATAAACATTATTAAAGATTTCTAAAAAAAACACTTGTGCCTTTTTTGTTAGTAAAGTCAAATTATCTTTATCTATATATATAGATATTTTATAATCTACAAATACATTTTCAAATACAATAAACTTTCTGGTACTAATGACCTTAGTAATTTTAAAAAGCTATTGCGAAGTATTGGTAAAATAGTTTTATCATTATATTATACTATATATATTCTTAATAGAATAATCTGTAAATTTAACTAAATAATTTTTTAATATATTTAATATAAAATAATTGTTTTAATATTAATAAAATATATCAAAAAGAAAAGTTTTTTTTTTTTTTAAAATGTCAAAGTAGAAACTTTATTAAATAATAAAAGAATTACATTAAAGATTTCTAAACTACATTTATGCTACTTATTTTAAGACACCCAATATGACATTACATCTTCATTTCTATATAACACTATTATTAATTATTTTAAATTAATTTTAAGTATAGAAAGGTTGAAGAAAAACCTAAAGTAATAGTCTTGGCATTTAGTAAATACAGTTAGTAAGTAAATAACCTAAAAATAGCCAGTTTTTAATAGATATAGTAGGGTTAATAGTAGATGTATTTGAGATATTAGATGTTAATTAAGAGATAGAAATTAGAAAGTAAATTTTTGAATATTTGAATTTGTTAGTTATATTGCAAGTTTTTTTTCATTGTTGTTGAAGAGTGTTACATAGTAGCCATATTTGTTGATAGAACCAATTAAGAAAAGCATTTGATAAGGTTGTAAAGAAGAGTAATGTTGTTTTATGAAGAAGTATTTTAATATTATTATATAAAGATATGGAGTAAAAGCCTTAGATAAGATTCAAAAAATTAAGATGTGGTGATATATTAAAGTAGTGAAATAATATAAAATGAATAGTATTTGTAATTTCAGTAAAGATATTTAATTGTTGAATAATATTTGTAGTTAAACTATAAAGAATTTGTTAAAAACTGGATTTTTGTTTAAAGCAAGTTAATATATAAAGTATATCTTCGATTAATTGACAATGAACACAATTTGAAGTAGTGTATAATAAGAGATGGTGTATATTTAGATTTTGCATAGTTGGTAAGTTGTTATTGATAATTTTTAATCAAAATGAATAGAATTTTTGATCATTATTAAGTGAATTAATAATATTAAAATTGGTAGACTATTTAATAGAAAGTAGGTTTTGAAATTATTTAAGTTCTGACAAAGTAAGAAGTAATTAAATAGTTATCATGTTTTGGAGAAAGAAGTGAGTTTTAATAGAAATTATATAATTATATCATGTAAAGTAGAAAAGAAGTATTGTTTTAAAGTTGAATGTGATTTGGTATTTATTAGTACCTTGTTTGGCTAGAAGATTAGCTTAATGTAAAAAGAGTTATTAGAATAAGATTTGATTTTATAAAAAGAGATATTAAGAGACTTTGTTTTAATAAAATGATAAATAATGAATAAAATATTCTAGTTTTTTATATGAGAGAATTTATATAATTATAGAAATAGTTGAATATTTTTAAATACAGAAAGATTGTCAAAATGTATATTATTTTGTGAATTTATTGGCAAGATAAGAAGAAGATATATTATTGCTTCAATTTCTGCTCGGGTAAAGTCAGGATATGAAGAAATAGAACAATTAAATTTGATTTAAATATTGTGTGTTCAGAAATCTATACAATTCCAATTTTAGGATATGATGTTTGAGCATTAATAATTGAGACATCTGTATAGAAATAAGTATTGTTTGGAAGATTTTTTACTAATAAAAATAATTCAATGAGTTGATTTTGGTAATTGAAGGATGATATGTATTTTGTATTATTTGTATTTCCATTTCAGGAATATATATAATTGAGGTTTGAGTTGATCTAAGTGGTAGAGAAGTTTGTTTTAGTATTTTGATAAGTACATAAATTTCATAATTATCAATATTAAGAGAGTAGATATTATCTTTTTTTGATGACTTAATATTTAAAATATTAATAAATGTTTGAGGTATCAACATAGATGGGTTAGCAGAAATTAATAATATTAAGCTATAAGCAGTGTTGTTAATTGAGAAAAAATTAGATGAATTCTTTATAAAAAGAATTTGAGAATTATTAAGAAGAATTGATCATTGATTTAATAATAATAAATGATAGGATATAATTGTATCAAGAGAATTAATAAAACTATTAATATTAGATAGGTTAAGATGTGGCCATGTTTGATGCATAGTATTATTTTGAATTAGATTACAAAGTTTAGTAAACCAGAAAGGAATAGGTTTATGAATAGATTTTTTAGTTTGTATATATATATTATTCTAAGATAAAAGATATAAGTTGTCAGCAGTTGTGATTTGTTCAATAAAGAGTATTTTATTATTATGAAAACTATTTGTTAAAGAAGAAGAAATATTAGATGGAAGGATGTCATATATTGTTTTTGTTATTATAGAAATATTAGTTGGTGATAAATTTAATAAGTTATTAAATAAAAAATAAATATTAGAGTTATATAAAAGTGAAAGTTAAAAAATAAAAGAAAAGTTTTGGTTTTAAGTAAGAATTTAGAGGATGTAATTGAAAGAAAAAGTGGTTGCTATATTTTAGTAAACCAGTTTTTAATTCTGACTTTACTAATATGTTTAAGAAATAAAGTAGATTAGAAGATATGTTCCATTGTTGATATTGTGATTTTTTGAGTTAAGTGTTGAAATGTTAGAAGTTTAAAAGATAATTAGTTTGTAAGAAAAATATTAGATGTATTTTTTGCTAAATGAAGCATTTTTTTTATTGTAATTGAAAGTAGTTATGAGAGTTTTTGTTGTTGTATTTTGGATATAGATAAGATTTGTAGAAGATATTCTAAAGATGATTGTAATATTATATTAAAGAGTGTAGAAATTTGTTTAGATGTAAGTTTTTTATATTTAATTAATAAGAAAAAGTTTTTAATTTTGTTTTCAAAAGTTGGTTTAGTAGAACCATTTCCATCAAAATAGATACCAAAGTACCATATGATTTCATATGGTTTACATAAAGATATTATTTGGTTATTATAATAAAGTGTTGGTATAGTGATATTTAGTTTGTTTTTGTTTTAAGAGATATATAAAAGATCATATTTAGTTGAATTAATTTCAATATTATTAAGATTATATAGTTATTGTATATTATTAAAAATATATTG